TAATCCATTTCTATTAATCTACATGCTGTCATGTAACTCTAGACGTTTACCTCTCCCCCTGCATGTCCTGTTTTCTCTGCGTCTGGCTGGCGACTCCCCATTTCTTATTCCTGGAGATCTGTCTGGAAGTCCTGCCTATACCTCCTGCCTAGCTATTGTCCATTTAACTTTTTATTAAACCAACCACAGTGACAAATCTTTATGCAGTGTAATCAAATATCTTGCAACAAGCCTCTGCTCTCCAGGTGTCTTGTATGGTCTCCATCTGTACATAGCTATAAATAAACACCTTGCCCAAGTATGAAGTAACAAGTATCTAAAATAACCTTCAGGCTAAGGCTATGTAAAGGAAACATCAGTGAATTTCCTGTTGGGACTTGGGTCTTAGCCCCAAAATATCTTATAATATGCATGCAAATATTCCAAAATCAAGTATTTTTTGAGACAGGATGTCATGTCATGTATTTAGTTGGCTAACCTCCAACTAAATATGTTAGAGCTGAGGATGGATTTGAACTCATTTTCCAGCCTCTTCCTCCTCCTGAGTGCTAGGATGAAAGGTGTACACCAGCCATGTCAGTTGTATGTATTGTTGGAGTTGTAGCCTAGAGCTTTGTGCATGCTAGGCAAATGCTCTTTCAAATGAATCACATGGGTAGGGGTGGGGGGAGAGCGTGTATTTATTTATTATGTCTGTGTAGATATATATGCAAGTGTGTGCACACACAGAAGCCTGTACATGCTTGCACTAGGAGACCAGAAGAGGGTGAAGTAGTCACAGGGTCCTCTTCATCACTCTTCACCTGTTCTCTTGAACCAGGGTCTCTTCCTGAACCTCTTACTCAACTGAAGGCCACAAATTCCAACAATCCTTCTGCCTCTGCACACTACACCCAGAGCTGGGGTTATAGGCATTTTTGAAGGGTACCCAGCTTATTACACAGTACATCTAAACTCCAGTCCTCGTGATTTTGGAGCAAGTGCTCTTAACTGCATACCCATCTCTTCAGCCTTTTTTTTAAAAATATGTTTGGATTTTATTTATTTGTTTGTTTATTTATTTATTTATTTTATTTATTTATTTTGAGACAGGGTCTCACTCTGCAGCCCAGGCTGGCCTTAAACCATGGCAGTCTTGCCTTGGCCTCTCAAGTGCTTGGAGCCACCATGCTTGTGTTCTAAAATGGCTTTGCTGTTTGTTTGGTGTTTTTTGGTGGTGTTAGGCGTGTTTGTTTTTTTGTTGTTTGTTTTGGTTTGGTTTTTGGTTGGTTGTTTAAAAATAAAAATAAATTTAAAAAACTTGAAACATTTTGATTAACGATACTCAACTGGTATTGATTTTCTCTTTACATAAAATATTTTTGTTTAGCCAGGAGTGGTGACAATACTATTAATCCTAACATTTAGAGGTAGAGCCAAGAGATCTCTACGAGTTGGAAAGAGCCTGGTCCACGTAGTGAGTTTCAGTCTACCCACGGCTATATAGTGAGTCAGTCCCCCCTTCTCCCATCTCTAATTAATTGTGTGCAGGCATCTACCCACTAAATGGCAACCACATCCCCATCTCTAAGACAACCAAAAATAGTCCCACAGGCCGGGGTTGTAGCTCAGTAGTAGACCAATTACCTAACATGCACAAGGCTCTGGGTTCCATCCCCAGCACTGATAAAAACCAAACACTGTTATTCCAAAGTCCCCCCATTCCCCCCCCCCCCACACACACACCATGCCTTGGTTCAGAACTCTCGAAGGTGTTAATTCCTGTTTACCTATACAGCCCAGCCTTTTTGGCACCCTGGAGAAAACAGTCCCCCATTGTACACAGAGGCTCCCTGGAGAGCCATACTTGAAAGTATGCATGAGAATAGCCCCATAGGATCACATGTTTTAATACTTTGTATTAAACAAAGTCGATGGCATGACTGGGCAGTTTGGGAAGTGTGGCCTTTTGGAGGAGTATGTCACTGAGGGCAGGCTTTAAGGTTTCAAAACTACCATTCGTTCCCAATGTGCTCTTTCTGTCTACTGTTTATGGATCAGAATATGAGCTCTCAGCTGTTCCTGCCACTATGCCTTTGCTCTGCTATCATGGACTCCCACCCTCTGGAACTATAAGCCGAATTAAACACTTACTTTTATAAATTGACTTGGTCACAGTGTTTTGTCACAGCATTAGAAAAGTAACTAAGGTTTATTTGGAGCTTATGGTTCCAGAGGGATGAGAGCCCATCATCATCATCAGAATGGGAAATCATAGGAGCAGGAAGGCATGGTGACTGGACTTGGAATCTCAAACCATAAGCAGGAAGCAGAGAGACATACTTCTTTCAGAAAGGTCACACCTCCAAACTTCCTGAACAGTGCCACCACCATCAGAGTGGCAAATACCTGAAACTGTGGAAGGGAATCTCATTCAAACAACCACACCTTCTTTGGCCTCCCACCTCAAAATGTCCTTCTTTCCCTAGCCTTTTCTTCACTGTGACAAAATACCTGACACAGACAACTTAACAGGGGAAGGGTTGATTCATGGTGTCAGCAGTACCCATCACTTTGGACCTGAGGAAGATCAGCATATCATAGCATTGAGAGCTTGTGATGGAGGCTGCTCATACTGTGATGGTCAGGAAGGAGAGAAAGCAAGACAAAGGAGCTGGGAGTTCCACTGGTAAAGTGCTTGCTGAGCATGCACAAAGCCCTGCCTGAGTTGCAGCCCCAGCACTGCATACACCATGTGCGGTTGTGCACTCTTGTTATCTCAACACTTGAGGTAGAGGCAGGAAGATCTGAAGCTCCTACCAGCCTAGTCTACAGGTGCGAGGGCTCATTTGAATGAAGGAAAGGAGGAAAGAGGGAGAGGATGAGTGAACAGAGGTGATTTTAGCCAGGACCACATCCCAAAGAGCTGAATGTCAAAGCAAAGGATTCAGCCTTCATTGTTCAGGCTGTGAAATTGAGACATGGCTGTAGCTGATGATCTGTATTAAAGATAGATAGATAGATAGATAGATAGATAGATAGATAGATAGATAGATAGATAGATATTACAGATATATATTTGAAAATTATAATTATACTCATTGACTGATTGATTGGGAGAGTATGCACATGCTATAGTACGCGTGTGGAGGCCAGAGAACCAAGAGTTGGTCCTCTCCTTCCACCATGTAAGTCCCGGGGATTGAATTCAGGTCATCAGGCTCAGTAGCAAGCACCTTTCCCCACTGAGCAATACTGATAGCCTTTTTTAGAAGCAGGGTCTGAATATATATACCCTGCTCACCTGAATTGCATGGAAGTCCTCCCAACTCTGCCTCCCAAGTGCTGAGATTACCAGTATGTCACCATGCCTGTCTTGTACCATACTTCAGAAAGATCCCTCAAAGAGCTGAGAATATAACTCAGCTACAAGAGTTCTTGCCTACATGCTCAAAGTCCTGGGTTTGATCTCCAGCATTTCATAACTTGGGCTTGATGACACACTGAGGGGGGGCGGTGTCTCTGCAGGTGTCAGGGAGAGAAGCAAACCTCAAAGAGATGAGAGTGAAAACTCTGTTCTGATTGACTTCATCAATCTGGATCAAGACTTCTAAAGAGTCTGATGACAGGGAGTTCATCATCAGCATATTTAAAATACAGTGCAATTTGGAAAAAAAGTTTTCTGGTGTAATACAATCCCTGTTGCACAAGGAAGTGTAATTACAATGAAACTCAACTCAGGGTACATGTCATTTCTTCCAAGAGGATGGGTTCTAGAGATAGGCTACCTATGCTAGCTTAAGGGCTTAGGAAAGGCTCTGGCTTGGTCTTGATCATACAGATAGCACAGAGGTCATTTGGACTATTAAGTCGCCTCTGGTCCTGGTTATGGGAGCTTGGGGGAGCCCATGGCTGTAAGGGTCATTTAGATTGCTAGGCACCTCTGGTCCTGGTTGTATGAGCTTGATGAGGCCTGATCCAACACAGATCACCAGGCTATTAATCACTTCCAATTCCCAGCTTTCTGGATGGAAGAACAGGTATTTCATCTTTGCCATTGGAAAGATAACCATGTGTGTTTAATAATCCTGGTCTCTCTGGAGATCTGTGGGCACAAGGATGGACCTTCATACTCAGCTCCTAACAGCACACACCAGGGAGCCTGAAGTGGCCTGATCTACCTCCTGGGTGTTCCCAATAGGTGAGGAAGAAACAGGGTTGTCATCTTTTCTTTTTTGTTTCTGTGATCAAATATTCTGACAAAAGGAACTTTAATGGACAAAGAGCTTAATTGACTCACAGTTCCAGGCTACAGTCCATCATTGTGGGAAAGTAAAGGCAGAGACCTGAAGCAGCTAGTTAGAGTACATCCATAGTCAAGAGCAGAGAGAGCCGATGTGGTAGCACACACCTTCAATCCCAGCACTCGGGAGGCAGAAGTAGGCTGATCTCTATGAGTTAAAGACTAGCCTAGTTTACATAATGAATTCTAGGCTACTCAGGGCTACATAGTAAAAACATGGAGAGAGAGAAAGAGAGAGAGAGGAGAAAGAGAGAGAATGAATGATTACTTGTACCTAACCCTCTCTTTACAAGGACTGGTATAATACTAACATAGACTCTCCCCATGAAGGGCTGGGGTGTGAACAGGTCTTCTTACTTTTACTAATGTAATCAAGACAATCTCCAACAGACATGCCACAGGCCAAACTGACCTAGACAGTCCCTCATTGAGACTCTTAACAGGTGATTCTAAATTGTGTCAAGCTGACAATTAAAACTAGCCATTCAGGTGGATCTCTGTGAGTTTAGGCCAGCCTGACCCACAGAATGAGTTCCAGGACAGCTAAAGCTACACAGAGAAATGTTGTCTTAAAACAACAACAACAACAACAAAAGCCTAGCCATAATTGGGGTATCTGAGGAAGGACAATTTAGAAGCTGTAGTGGAGGTAAACTAGATGCCCTGACCATGCTCCCCTGAAAGGGCTCACCCTCCATTCGTCCACTCCCATCTGCAGGGCAGCAAGGAGCGTTTTCACTGGCAGAGTCACAATGTGAAGCAGAGCGGTGTGGATGACATGGTTCTGCTGCCCCAGATCACTGAGGACGCCATCGTGAGCAACCTCCGAAAGCGCTTCATGGATGACTACATCTTCGTATCCAAAGCAGTGCAAGGACATGGGAGGATGACTGGGCAATAGAAGTTAGGATGATGCACTGGGACAGAGAAGAATGCCAAGGGGATGGCAGTGCAGAGGGGCCTATGAAAGCCCAGCCCAGGGTTGGAGGGGAGGATGAATGAATGGAGGAAGGATGGGCAGATTGAAGAAGAGATCAAGTAACAATAGTGCTGTGGTTTGAGATGCTGTAGCTGCCACTGCACCTCTGCCTTGGAGTAGCTAAACTACTGTACTGTATTTCCCTCTTTCTGGATCCAGCCTTCTTTTCCTAAGAGACTCAAGGTACATTCAAGTATCTCACCTCTCTCTCTAAGCAAGAGGTTCTGGGAAGTCTTGTTGGGATAGAATAAGGGGTAAGAAAGGCAAAGCAAGACACTGCATGGTTCTTAACTACCTCTCAAGACATATATTGGCTCAGTGCTTATCTCTGTAAACCCCTTTAAGCAGATGCCCTACTTCACTGACCGAGAAATTGACCTCTACCAGGGCGCGGTGAGACCAGGGTTGGATGGGTGGAAATATGCCCACACCTACCCTCTGAGGCCTCCAGCTCTGTACTGACACCTGACCTCCTCCACCAGGCTCAATATGAGAATCCCCCGCACATCTATGCCCTCACCGACAACATGTACCGGAATATGATGATCGACTGTGAGAACCAGTGTGTCATTATCAGGTGATTATATAGTAGGGTGAGGGATTCTGGAACATTCTGTCCAGGCATGTCCTCAAACACCACCACCAAGGGTGATTTGTCATGAACTCATAATCATGCCATGATGTCCCTTTATCCCTATTGATCTGTTCTACTTTCTTTATTTCCCTTGGCTCCTGATACAGTGTGTCTATTCATTTTATTACTGCCTATTGTTTCCTCCTAAATATTAGCTCCAGGACTGAAGAGATGGCTCAGCAGGTAAGAGTGTTTGCTGCTCAAGGATGAGACCCTGAGGTCAAACTCCCGGAATTTACATAAAAAGCCAGACTTGGACACACACAGCTATAACTCCAGCATTGGGAGAGACTGAAACAGGCAGGTTTCTAGGGTTTGCAGGCCACAAGCCTTACTCCAGATTCAGTGAGAGAGCCTGTCTCAAGGGAATAAGACAGGGAACGATGGAGCAGAATACCAGATGTCCTCCAATCTATACATAAAGACACATGAATACATAAACACATGCACATATACCACAAACACATACACCATGCTCATACTACACACACATAAAATAGATAAATGTGGGGGTATGAATTTTTAAATTACATTGTATTCATTATTTTGTGTACATGTGTATAGATCGATGCATGTCAAGGTATGCATGTAGAAGTCAGAACACAACTTCCAAGAACCAATTCTCTCCTTCCACCATATGAGGGACTGAACTCAGGTCTTCAGGCTTGGCAATGGGTGCTGAGCCATCTTTCCAGGCCAAGGAATTTGTACATCATATCTACTTATTTATTTATATTTATTGGGACTGCCACATGCCACAATGCAAGTGTGAAGATCAGAGGAGAACTTTCAAGAATCAGGTCTTTTCCATGAAACTCAGCTTGGCAGCAAGTGCTTCTACCCACTGAGCCACCTCACCAGCCCCTTCTTTTTTGGGGGAGGGAGAAGATATTTTTTTATTTTTAAAAAATTACTATTTTTATGTTAAGTGTGTGCATGATTTGCTTGCATGCATATCTGTGCACCACATTCATGCCTGTTGATCTCAGAGGCCAGAAGAGGGTGTTCAATCACTTAAACCAGAGTTACAGATGGTTATTACCACTGTGTCGGTTCTGGGAAGCAAAGACATGTTGTCTGCAAGAGAAATAAGTGCTCTTAGCCCTAAGCCATCTTTCCAGACCCTGGGGCAGGGATTTTTTTTTTTTTAATCTTTCTTATTCACTGTTTAATCTCTAAAACCTAGAGTAGGGTCTGGAATACTGTGGGTGCTCAGTAAAAGAATAAATACATGCATGAATTAATGAATGACTAGGCATTTGAAAAGGTCCTTTCCACTATCCCTGCCCACTAACTATTCCTTCATCCTACCACCTCCAGTGGAGAGAGCGGAGCTGGGAAAACAGTGGCTGCTAAGTACATCATGGGCTACATCTCCAAGGTGTCTGGCGGGGGTGAAAAGGTCCAGGTAAGACAAGAATAGAAGGACATGTCAGGTCTCCCTCAGTTACACCCATATGACCCAGACTGATCTCTTTCTACCTGGGCTCTACCCCTAGCACGTCAAAGACATAATCCTACAGTCAAACCCACTGCTTGAGGCCTTCGGCAATGCCAAGACGGTGCGCAACAACAATTCCAGCCGCTTTGTGAGTCATTATAACCTTGCTTGAGCTCTCACTCTCTCTACATACACAGGCATACAAAAATACAGACAAGCAAACACACATGCATGCAGACAATGCACACACAAGTACACACATACATGTGCACACACACACACACACACACACACACACACACACACACACACACACACACACTTGTGTGGGAAGTACTTTACTCACTGAGCCATCTCCCTAGAACCCATGTTTCTTTTTGTGTGTGAGTGCATGCTTGTGTAGGTGCACATGTAGTATGTGCACATGCACATTTGTGCACATGCACATGAATGCCAGAGGTTGATGTTGGGTGTCTTCTTCAATAGCTTGCCACCTTACTATTCTTTTTTATTTTGTTAGTATTTATTTTGTATGTATGAGTGTTTTGAACGTATGTCTGTGCCCCACATGAGTATATGATGTTCTTGGGGGCCAGAAGAAAGCAGTGAAACCCCTGGAACTGGAGTAACAGACATGTGGGTACTTGGTATAGAATCCAAGTCCTTGGGGCTGGAGAGATGGCTCAGCAGTTAAGAGCACTGGTTGCTCTTCCAGAGGACCTGGGTTCAATTCCTAGCACCCACATGGCAGCTCACAGCTGTCTGTAACTTCTGTTCCAGGGGATCTGATGTCCTCATACAGACATACCTGCAGGCAAGACACCAATGTGCATAAAATAAAAATGAATAATTTTTTCAAAAAAAGAACCCAGGTCTCCTGAAAGAGAAGTCAGTGCTCTCAATTCCTGAACTATAGCTACAGTCCTCCCTCTGTCTTATTTTTTGAGACAAGGTCTCTCACCGAATGTGGAGCCATCCAAGCAAGATCTGAGTTTAATCCCCAGCACCCATATAAAAGCTGTATATGCTGGCACACACCTGTAATTCTCACACTAGGAGGCAGACAGGAGGATCCAGAGGCACAGTGGCCATCTGGTCTAGCCAAATAAGTGAGCTCTAGATTCAATGAGAGACCTTGTTTCAAGAAATAAAGTAGAAGGGCTGGAATAATAGCATTTAAGAGTGTAAAAAGCAGAGTTCAGATCCCCAGCACAAGAGAAGTGGAGGCAGGGGATTTCTGGAGCAAATGATTAGCTAAGACTAGTCAAATCAGCAAGTTCTGGGTTCAAGAGTTCTTTCCTCGATGTATAAGGTGGCAGCAGTTGAAAAAGATGCCCGATGTTAACCACCTCTGGCCTTCACCTACTCAATCATGCACACACCCATGTATTCACACACAAAAGAGACACAGAAACCTCAAATGTGGTGGGGAGAATTGAGGTGAGCACAGAGCTAGAGCTGAGTGCAATTAACAGAGTTTTAGAGAACCACAGGAGATGGATGGTTTAGGGATGCCTGGCTCCACACAGTCTGAGCAGTCTAGAGGAAAGACACTGGAGAAAAGAGTAAGCTTAGTCAGTAAGTGAGTGGCAATCAGCAAGTTCAGCAGATGCTTGCTACCACCAAGCCTGAGGACCTAAGTTCAATCCTCAGAACATACATAGTAAAGAACCAGCTCCCACAAATTGTCCTCAGACTATCATGTGTCCACCATGGCAACACACACACACACACACACACACACACACACACACACACACACACACACAAATATATATATATATATATATATAACTTAAAAATAAGGGAATGGAGACAAGAGAAATGCAAGTTTAGGTCACAAGAGGAAGAGGGGAAGAAGTCAGGCTCATGAGATGGTAATCCTTGCTCCATCAATACTCCGGGGACTCTGGGATGGGCTAATGTGGTTCTCTCGGATTCAGGGCAAGTACTTTGAGATCCAGTTTAGCCGAGGCGGGGAACCAGATGGAGGCAAGATCTCCAACTTCCTGCTGGAGAAGTCTCGTGTGGTCATGCAGAATGAGAATGAGAGGAATTTCCACATCTACTACCAGGTGCATGGGAGGGGGTTGTGGGTCTGGAGGCAGAGGGAGACCCCTCTGGATCCCAGGAATGGAGGAAAGAGAACATGGGAAGGGCCGTGTGTGGGAGGGTGAGGCAACCACAATGGCTGCACCTGGCCAGCTTCAGATGCATGACCTTCCAACACCCTCCAGCTTCTGGAAGGGGCCTCCCAGGAGCAGCAGCAGAACCTAGGACTCATGACACCAGACTACTATTACTACCTCAACCAATCAGACACCTACAAGGTAGAAGGCACTGATGACCGGAGTGACTTCAATGAGACCCTGGTGAGCACCAACCACTACTCTGGCTTCCCCAGAGAACCTTTTCATGTTACAAATAAGGAAACTGAGACACAGAAACGTGCAGGCACTTATCCAAAGTTATACAGCAACTAGATAAAAAGGGCAGATCACAAAGCCAAGGAAAGGACTCAGAGGGTAAAGTGCTTGCTGTACAAGCATAAGGACCTAAGTTTGATCCCCAGAACCCACATGAAAAAAAGGTGGGTATGGCAGCACATGCTTATATTCCAGCACTGGGGCTGCAGAGACAGGCAGATCCCCAGGGTTTGCTGGCCATCTGGTCTGGTCAAATCAGTGAGCTTCAGGACTACACAGACTAGAAACTCGGTCTCAAAACTAACATGAAGATCTGGGGAGAAGGTTCAGAAGGTAGGAGCACTTGGAAGGCAAGCCCGATGAGCTGAGTTTGGATTTCCTGAACCCACATAAAAGCTGGATTACACGCGCTGCCTTTGAGCCCCCGGCATCCTTCTTCGTGGTGCTGGGGGTTAAGCTGCGGCGCCATAGCAATTGCTAGCACATAACTGGGGCTGCCTGCCCATCGCGGGCGGCCCTTTTAACTGCTAGGTACAGGCCGAAAGAAAAAAAAAAAAAAGCTGGATTATAAGCGTATGTAACCCCAGTGCTTCTGTGGAGAACGGAAGGGTGAGATAGGAGAATGTCCAGCAGCTCATGAGCCAGCTAGCTTAGCTTATGCAGCAGCAATGACCGTCCGTCTCAAGCTGAGTGGAAAAATGAAGAATGGATAACTGCAGATTGTCCTCTGACCTCCAGAATGCTGTGGCACACATATGAATCCACACGCACACTTTTTAAACTTGGAGAACAATAGAGGAATACACCTAATGTAAACCTCCAGCCTCTGAGTGCACTTGTATTTACACATACATGTGCATCCATACACATGCACACATGCACAAACACATACACACCCATACACTACATACATACACACAAGGCAAATCAGGTGGTTGGGGAGATGTTTCAATTAATAAAGTATTTGCCATGCAAGTTCAATCCCCAGTACTCAATGAGAAAATTAAAACGGGCTGGAGAGATGGCTCAGAGGTTAAGAGCACTGTCTATTCTTCCAGAGTCCTGAGTTCAATTCCCAGCAACCACATGGTGACTCACAGCCATCTATAATGAGATCTGGTGCCCTTTTCTGGCATGCAGGCAAAATACTGTATACATAGTAAATAAATAAATCTTTAAAAAAAGAAAGGAAGGTAGGGAGAGAGAGAGAAAAAATTGAGAGAGAGAGAGAGAGAGAGAGAGAAAATTGAGAGAGAGGGAGAGAGAGAGAGAGAGAGAGAGAGAGAGAGAGAGAGAGAGAGAGAGAATATTAAAATGCCAAGCATGATGGCAACAGCTTGTAACCCCAGTGCTATCAAGGCAAAAGTCAAGATTACTGGGGCTCACCAGCCAGCCTCAGCTATTTGTCAAGTTCTCGTCCAATGAGAAAAACAAGATAGATGGTACCTGAGGAATGACACCCAAGGTTGACCTCTGGCCTCCACACACATACATGAACACACATGCTGAGCACACACACAAAGCAAAATCAGGCATCCAAATGTCTTGCCTCCATAAGTCCATGCCATGAGCCCAGGAGTCTAATTCTGCAGTCAGGGTGGAAACCAAAGTTGGTGACATAAGCTGTCCCTGTTGTGCCCACAGAATGCCATGCAAGTCATCGGAATTCCTACTAGTGTGCAGCAGCTCGTCTTGCAGCTCGTGGCAGGAATCTTGCACCTGGGGAACATCAGCTTCTGTGAAGAAGGGAACTATGCACGGGTGGAGAGTGCAGACCGTGAGTGTGGGTGCTATGGAAAGTTGGGTGTCAGCCTCATGCATTAGGACTGCTCTTCTTCCCACTTCCAATCCCAAGAGAACCATGTTAGTGTCACTGGAGAAGTTCCTATGCCCTTAGAGCCTGACCAGCTGCTTCCTTTTGCTCTGGCCTGGCAGTCTTGGCCTTCCCAGCCTACCTGCTGGGAATAGACAGTGGGCGGCTGCAAGAGAAGCTGACCAGCCGTAAGATGGACAGCAAATGGGGTGGACGAAGTGAGTCCATTGATGTGACCCTCAATGTGGAACAGGCAACCTACACTCGTGATGCACTGGCCAAGGGACTCTATGCCCGCCTCTTCGACTTCCTGGTGGAGGTGAGTGGGACTAGTGCTGGAAATTCTTTTGGATGCCTGGTGTTTAACAAGCCCATGGCATTTGGACAGACAAATGGGAAGACAGGCTTGACTTGTCCATCTCACCAATTCCTGAGGAAGTGAAGTGCAACTTTCAGCTCAGACAATCAGCCCTCCAGGTCCCATCACCGTGATGGTGATAGAGAGGGGTGGGTATGTTTGAGAGCTAAGATGGTTGTCAAGGAGACAAAGTGGTTGGGTGAGGTGAGTGGAAGGGAACATTACATGTCAGGGCCAGTGATGATCACAGTACTAACAAACATATAACAGTTAGTGGAGCCAGACATGGTGATACACACCTGTAATCCCAGCACTCAGGAGCCTGAGGCAGGAAGATTATGAGTGCAAGGCCAGTTTGGGCTGCATAGAACGACCCTATGGGTTTTCTTTTTTCATTTATTTATTTATTATTTTGAGACAGGATCTCACTATGTAGCCCAGCCTGGAACTCTATGGAGACAAGGCTGGCATCAAACTCACAGAGATTGGCGTTTCTTTCTCCTGAGTGCTGGGACTAAAGGTGTGCACCACTATACCTGACTTTTTTTTAAAGTAGGGGTTGAAGAGAGACCTCTGTTGATGAAATGCTTGCTTTGCAAGCATGAGGACATGAATTCCATCACCAGAACCCACATTTAAATTTATTACATTCATTTATTTACTTTGTGTGCATGTGTGTATGCACGCTGCAACATGTATGTGGATGCTAGAAGTCAGCTTGAGGGACTTGGTTCTCTCCTTCCACCATATGGGTTCCTGAGATCAAACTCACATCATCTGGCTTGTCATCAAACATCTTTACCCACTGAGCCATCTTGCCAGCCCAGCACCTACATTTTTTAAAAGCCAGGCATGAAGCTGGTGAGATGGCTCAGTGTCTCACCTAGGCTGAGGACCTGAGTTTGAACACCAGAACCCACATGATGAACAGAGAGAATAGACTCCTTTAAACTGTCTACTGACCTCCTTATGCACACTATGGCATGCAAGTGTTCTCGTTCTCTCTCTCTCTCTCTCTCTCTCTCTCTCTCTCTCTCTCTCTCTCTCTCTCTCTCTCTCTTTCTCTCTCTCATAAATAAATGTAACTTCAGAAACTGTTAGGCCAGGTATAGTGCACTTAGAATCCTAGAGCTGGGGAGGTAGAAAGAGGTAGATCCTCCCCCCTGCCTCACCTACTTGGAGAGGTCCAGACCTTGAAGAGAGCCTGTATCAAATGAAAAACTAAAAACAAAAACCAAGATAAATAGTACCTGAGGAGCAGCATCCAAGGCTGTTCTCTGGCCTCCACGTGCACACAAATGTATGTATATGCACACTTCAACACACACACCTATGTACAAATACAAACTCACATACAAATGTATATGCCAAGTCTCCTCCAGCATTTTATGTATGTAAAGTGACTTTTTAAATATATATTTTTAAAAATTCCCATAAGGATAGAAGGTGTTGTTCAGTGATAAAAGGTCCTGGGTTCTATCTCTGACATGGCAAATGTACACACATGAGCACACACACACAAGAAAGGAGCAGGGAAGTTCCTAAAAGGTATGGGCTGAACATCCCTAATTTGAAAATCCTAAATGTAAAATACTTCAAAATTCCAAACTTTTGAACACCAACATGAAACTACAAGTGGAAAATTCCACCTCAGACCCCATGCATGGCTCATAGTTAAAACCTAGCTATAGGGCTCAGTAGTTCGGAGAGAATACTGCTCTTCTAGAAGCCAGGTTCAATAACCAGCACCCACGTGGTGGCTCACAACCAACCACCCATAACTCCAGTTCCAGGGGGATCATTTGCCCTCTTCTGGCCTCTTCTTGAACTGCATGCATATTGTTCACAGACATTCATTCATGTAGACAAAATACCCATACACATAACATAAAAATAAATAAATCTTTAAAACAAAAAAGTGCACTAAAAGTAGTGCATAAAGTATATATGAAGTGTAAGTGAATTTCATGTTTAAACTTGAGTCTTGTTGGGCATGGTGGAACATGCATTTAATACCATCCTGCAGGAGCAGAAGCAGGCAGATCCAGGCAGATCTCTGTGAGGGCAGCCTGGTCTACATAGCGAGTTCCAGGTCAACCAAAGCAACATAGAGTGACTATCTCAAACAAATAAATAAAAAAACAATCTTTGATCTCATGCTCAAGATACTGCACGTTTCTCAAAACTAAAATGCAAAAACACTGTTTGGCCTAAACATTTCCAATTACAGATAATCAAACTCCAGTGGTATTAATTTTGTGGTAATGGAGATGGAATCTAGGGATTAGTGTATACTATACAAAGTGCCCTACCACATGCCCAGGCCCTAGTATTTGCTATTACAAGTCTGTCTGTCTGTTTGTTTATTTGTTTGTTTGAGATAGGGTCTCCAGTAATCCAGGCTGGACATGAGTGAATGTATGACACATATGTGCAGGTGCCCACATGGTACATCAGATTCTCTCTCTGGAGCTGCCATGTCAGACCAGTACCCTCCTCTGGTCTCCACATACATGTGTGCACAAATGCACACACATGCACACACACACAAATTGGGGAAACAAGCAGTTTTCAAAACATGACAAGAGGATGGTGATTGGTGGCATGGGTTTAGCCACATGCCTACTAGCCCCATTTCCATCTGCCCATAGGCCATCAACCGTGCTATGCAGAAGCCTCAGGAAGAGTATAGTATCGGTGTCCTTGACATCTACGGCTTTGAAATCTTCCAGGTTTGGCACAGGATCCCCCGCCCCCATCCCCTTATCTTCAGCCCAGACCTATTCTGCCTGTCATCCTGGACTTACCCAATGCTTGCCAAAGATTCCAGCACAGTCCACTAACAGAAAGGCCCTTTTCCTTCCTTGGCAGAAAAATGGCTTTGAGCAGTTCTGCATCAACTTCGTCAATGAAAAGCTGCAACAGATTTTTATTGAGCTCACCCTGAAGGCGGAACAGGTGGGCAGGGCAGCCAAGTGGCAGAAGACAGGACTTCAAGTATAAGGGTTACTAAGTCACTTGGGACCCCACACTCAAATCCATTCCCACCTCTCTCTGCTCACTGTGTTAGTTAGCTTTCTGTTACTATAACAAAATACCAGACATAATCAATTTATAAAGAGAAAAGCGAGGCTGGAGATACTGCTCAGTTGGTAGAGAGCACTTGCCTAGCATGTACGAAGCCATCCCCACCTGGATAAACTGAGTGTGGTAGTGCATGCCTGTCATTCCAGCACTCAGGAGGCCAAAGCATAAATGTCTAATGAGACCCCATCTTGAAAAATGGAGCTAGATGTAATAGTGAACATGTTTAATCCCAACACTCACTCACAAGTCAGAGGCAGGTAGATCTCTGTGATCTACATAGAGAGTT